TCGGGCTCTAAGTCCAGATTCCTGGCGACACGTTGGAAGCACCGCGCCACTGGAAGACAGCCACACAACGCTAAAGGCTCCTTAGAGGGCATTTGCTTCATACCCCCATTTTACAGGTGAGAAAATTGACGTCCAAGGAGACGTTGGGAAATGCCTTTCTGGATTCTGCCAGCTGGGACCAGTTCCACCTCTTATTGGCATGGTTTAGGCACTCCTTCAGTGAGCATTTATCTGGTGCCTGGTTGTAACTATGTACTAAATGTATGTATGGTATGAAAAATAACTACGAATACATCAGTAGTCGCCCCACACTTGGGCATAGAATGACACAGACCTGGGTTTGATTTGATGATTTGCAGGACTCCACTACTGGCTGGATGACCTTCTGAAGATGACCTTCTCTAAACCTTAGTTTCTTCGTCTACAAAGTGGAGATTAAATTATTAAAAAAAAAGAAATCTACTTGCTAGGGTCACCGGGCTTAAATGAGATAAGGTGCACTTTGCTTAGCACAATGCCTGCTCTTGGAAGTCACTCAGATATCCTTGCAGTGTTTTAAGAAGTCGAAACTGCTAGACACACAGGCATTCATGAGACAATCACAGTACTCATTTCCAGGCAGAAGTCAGGCAGCACGAGAAGGAAGGTACTTTCCCATGCACAGCACTTGGGGAGACTCACGCAGGGTTCCGTGACCTGGCAAGACAGGGAAAGGAGGAAATGGCCTCTGTTTATCTTTCTTCCCGCTGCCCCATCCTTCCCCCTCCCTTTTCCCTTCCTCCCCTCCCAACTCTCACTCTGACTCACAGTGGCTGCTGAGATACATCAGGACCTCTTATCAGGGTGAAATGTGTTCTGCACGGTGGTGAAATTTATATTTGAAGTCCTACTTTATCACAGAGGCCTCTCTCCTCTTTTCCTAACCTGGGCAGACACAAGAAGAAGCAATGAGCGTAAATGGATAAGAAGGTGGTTAAGTGCCTAGGGCATCAGATTGGAGTACAGGAATGAACAGAGTTGAAGACCATCTGGTACAATGATGATCCCTCCTGTTAACCAGGAAGCAGGGGAAAAACTGTGGAAGGTAAAATGGCATCAAGTTTTAGACTCAAGTTAGCACGCTGGTTTTCTCTGTCCCCGTAGTTCATTCATCCATTCACACACACTGCTTTGGGAGATCCATTATATACTACCAGGTTCAACGGTCTGACTCAATAAGCAGGGAATGGGGAAAGGAAAATAGGAACCCAGGATTCCTGGTTCTTTGTGCAGCTTCATGGATGATGATGCCATTCACTGCCATAGCGAGCAGAGGAGTAGAAACCAGTCTGAGAGGAAGACTGTGATTTGAATGTATTTTTTAAGTGACTGTGGAACTTCCAGGGAGGACCTCCAGGAAGCAGTTAGGAACGTGGGTTGCCAAGCATGGGAGAAAAGCCTGGAAATGTCCATTGGGAAAGGGTCAACATAGAGGTGGTCACTGAAACTGGGGCGGGGCTGAGATGACCCAGAGCAAGCGGACTGAGATCATGGGGTGGATGAGAACTGAAACCTGACAGATACCAGCTTCATAGGATCAAATACGGATCCTGAGGAGGGGGCAGAGAAGTGGGACGAAAACTAGAAAAAGAACAGTGGCATCCAACAGTCCAAATAAAGAGCCTGCCCAGGCTGAGGAAGTGGTTGGGAGTGGGAAATGCCACAGAGATGTCCAGGACGCTAGCACGGGAATGGGCCTGTTGATTTCAGCAATGAGGAAGCTATTAATGACTCGTGTGACCCCAGTTTCGGTGGGGATGTGAGAGCAGAAGCCAAGTCACAGTGGAGTAGAAGTAAATGGAGTCAGGGAGGAGGAGCAGCAGGAGTGCTGGGTGTAGCCCACTGTTTCGGGGGAGTTGATTGGGCAGGAAAGGGGAAGTTACAGCTGGGCATGAGGTTTTTTTTATTGTCTTTTTACTCTGGGAAACTGAAACATGCTTAGAGGGTAAAGAGAAGCAGAAAGGGTTAACAGGGAGGGGTAGGATAGTCTCAGTAGAGCCTCCACAATGGCAAATGCGAGGAGAGGGGAGTCCAACCCCAGATAACCCAAAGGAAGGATTCCGCCCACTTCGTTCTTTTCCTTCTACCACGTGAGAGGATGCAATGCATTTGGAAGGCTTAGGACTGAACTTGGGGAGCTCTTCAGAGCAAGCTTTGTCCCTGTCGGGCGGGACTCAGCCACGGCAGCAGTCTGACCATCAAATGCATGTAACCAGCCCCACTGGCATGTGCAGCCGAGCCAAAGGCCACGCAAATCATGTGAAAGAGATGCTGTTATTCCCGTGTCAGTCAGGACTCCAGGGAGTAAGTGACTGAAATGCAGCTCTAACCAGCTCAACCCAAAATGGAATCCACTGGTTTGCTAAACTGGGTATACTGGCTTCAGGCACGGTTAGGTTTTGGTGCTTAAAAGATGTCAGCAGAGGTAACAAGGATTATGTTTTGAAGTTACCAATGTACTTTTCTCTTTTGCCTTTCAGAGCATATGAATTTAGGCATTTATCTGCTGGAGGGGGAAGGGATGAAGATTCTTTCCAGAAAATATACAAAGAGAAAGAAAAGGTAACACTCAGCTCCAGCATTCAAAAATAGAGTGTGTAACAGGACAATAGCCATGTAATTCAAGCTCTTACCTTGAGAAAATGACCTCTCATTCCATTACCTTCCTCTTTAGAAGATCAGGGACTGGGTTTGGTAGACTGAATCTTAGGTTCTATGTATGGGAGGTCTAGACAGGGAGAAAGGAGGATTGTTGGGGGACAGAAGCAGCAGCAGAAGACCGGAGGCCTGGGAGGAGCCTTTGTGTTCAAAAAGTAGCGATGAGCCCCACAGACATGGGAGCACCTTACCCCTGCCACACTTCCTGAGTATGAGACGAAGAGCCTGGGTAGCCTAGTTTTGGTCAGATGGAGGGAGGCCCACAATGGACTTTTTAAGCTATCCTAGGTCCCCATGTAGCTCAGACCCTATCCAGACGTAGCAGCAAGTCTGTGGCCAGCTTGCTGGAGGTGATCACTGTAGTGGGGTGATTCACTGGTACTGGCTGCAGGGTGGACCCTGGGATCAGGACTGATAGGAAGTCATGGCCGGAAGTCAGAAACACCGGAAGGGCAGAGAAGAGGCCAAGTTAGGCAGGGAGCGAGCGCTGCCTCAGGTGAGAGGATGGGCCACAAACTCGCCATCCACAGACTTCACATCAGAGGCTGGTAGAACACCCAGTACAAGCAAAAGGTGGACATTGTCCTCACATGGGCAGACAACAGGCAGCTATGTCCAAGGATGCGTGTAAGGCCAAGAGTTCCCTTTCTCTCAACACCATGAGGACATGGAAGCACAAACCCCTCTTCTACCTTCACCATATATACCCTACAGGGATGATGACCAAAACATTTAAAAATCTTACAGGCTCAGGCACTGACCAGTCTGAATGGAGTCCCCTACTGTATCCGTGATTAATGTTTTTGTTGATGGGTTGTGAGGAGCTCAGGAAAAAGTCCAGGGAGGTGGTTCTCAGGGAACTCAAGGCAGTGCCTATTTACCAACTGCTCCAGGCATGTTTCAGTATTTTATCAACCAGGTCAGCCATGATGGAGGGAGCAGGTGAATATCAGCCTGGAACTATCATCTTTATTGGTGGAGCAGGAGACAAGGGAAGCCATCTGAGAAACTGAGCGTGTTCTCAAAGGGAATATAGAAATTATTGGAGTGGACCAAGATTTAAGCTGGTTTCACCCCCTACTAACCAGTGAAGGGCCAGATTGATCACGGGTAAACAAGAGAAATTATGTTTTATTGATACATCCAAGCTGCAGTGTGAGTTGAATTTATCATCTGTCTTATTCTTCTATGTTGGTTTCACTCTCAGGCAGCAGCTCCAGGCGTAATAAGCAGGCCCAAAAGACAAAGCACGTCTTTCTCAATGGTGTCAGCAGCAATCCCAAATCAGGTTCCCGTTGGCCCAGCTTTACTCATGTCTCCATCTCTGAGTCAATCCCTGATTGGCCAAGCGCAGGTCACATGACTGTTTCTAACCTCAGGAGCTGAGAGTGAGGAGAGGCGTGGCTCCCCACATCCCTCCTCCAAATCAATCAGGATGCTGTTAGCAGAAAATGCTGTACAACAGGCACAACAGAGGCACACCACGCTGCCTTTAGGGGTTTAACTTTGTAAAACTCTCAGAATGAGTGGAGTATTCCCATAGCATGAAGTGGGTTGGCATCCAGGCACTTATCCAGCTTATCCATAGGTTGATCAGTGGAGACAACTAATGTTGAAAATCATAAATCAAAGCAGCATTTTTCTCTTCTTCAATTTTCTTACCACAGTGACTAAACTAATTTCTGATCACTGAATTTGAGGACTATAATCAGCTAAATACAATGTCCAGTCTGGCTGAAAGCTTAGTGCAGCCCATAAATAGTTCCATTTAGAAACTGTTCGGTCTCCCCTCTCTTGGGTGTGACAATGACTGTCTTACTTTTCCTGTGTATTATTTCCTCTTTTTACAGTAAAACACCCTCTCCTAATTCCAAGAGAAACTGGATAATTAGTTGTTGCCTGTTTAAAAAAAAAACCTTTCTGTAGTAAATACAAAGTTTGATTATCCCAGGAGAGATCATAAAGGCAGCATCAGCTTTTCTTCACAGACTTTTACTTTCAATATCATAAAACACTGCACATTATTTCAAAACAGAAAAATCAGCCCTAAGTAAAAGGAGATATGGAAGGTCCAGGGAGAGGAAACATAGTCATCAATTTTATTGTAAAATTTATGCTGTGTCTTTTTTGGAAGGAGCATTATTCCATAAGGGTTATCTTAAAGTTTACAAAATGTAAAACTTAAATCGCAGAACTGAAAAACTCTTTGGGAAAAAAAATCATTAATCACAATGAGGAGAAATAAACTCATCATGCCCTGGCTTTTGAGTCACATAATTAATTCAGAAAGGGCTGCCTTTCTCCTGTGGAACCCAGGAGTTCATTTATTCATCAAATATTCATCACACCCTTCGTAGCTTCTCCGCATTGTGCTGGGCACTGGGGATGTGAGGATGAGTAAGACTGCTCGTGTCTGAGGAGGAAGGAGCCAGCGGGGCGTGGAGGTGGGGGCACAGCATGTAATTCGGAGTTCCACTGAGATGTGCAGGCATGCTGAGGGCTTGCAGGAGACAGTCCATTTTCCAGCAGGGTGGGTGGCTCAGAGGCTAGCCAGGATAATAAGCTGCCCGAAGGCTTTATATTTCCCACAGTGCCCACCGTGGTGCTGGGAAGCACTTGTGGACATTTTATTGCCCTGGCTAAGCTGGAGGAGGTGTGGAAATCCTCTTCGGCAGCCTCAGGCAGCTGGGCTCTGTGACATCTGAGGAACGAGAACTCCTGTTCTTCCCAGCATCCTGGTATGTGCTTTCCGTGCTGCCTGCCAAGGCCGTGGGCATCCGAGTCACCCATTCAGCAGACGGCGGTTGAGCAGTCGCCGTGGGCCAGGTGCTCAAGCAAAGCAGACTCAGATCTCAAGAGGGGAGGGGGACACCTAGTGTGTCACAATGGTGACAAGTGCTCTGGAGGAAAAGAAAGAATGGGAGGGCACGAAGTGTGAGGTGGGGGGATTGTGTTATAAAATAGGGTCTTTAAGAAACCCAGGTAAAGATTCAGTTCCCTCAGTTACCGGGGCACCCAAGAACCATGGCTGCTAGTACCTTAGGAGCCCACTGAAGAAAGTGACAGGCTGCCTGACCCCAGGAAGTGGCCAGCTCAGGGTGCAGCCCGGTGTGCACCATCCCCCTCCCCGAAGAGTCGTCTTGGGTGACGAGTGGAGCTGGTACAGCCCGAGTCTAGGGCAAGTCGAGCACTCGTGCCTGGGGAGGAAATGCGGTCATCTTTTCTGGGGGTCAGGAGAAGGGTTTAGATGCAGGCAGGTCCACTGGCAGCATCAAAGGGAGAAGAAAAGCTAAGAAAAGCTCCAGCAAGGCCGAGACAGAAAGTCAAGATCCTGGACCCAGAGGCGCGAGGCCAGAACTAGGGGCGGGCCCCTGCTGGAAACCGGAGTGTCAGGCAGGAAGAGCATCAGAGGCAGGTCATTGGGATGGCCCAGGAGGGACAGCTGTGTTGGGGCCAGTACGCAGGGGCACAGGCCCACCCCTCTGGGCACCAAGCTACCGCTGGGGGCAGAATGAGAAGTCAGGGTCAGGACCATTCGGCTGGAGCAGAGGGGTAATGGAGGGTGGCCAAGTTGTAGGGTCTTTGGGAACGAGCTGAAGGGTTTGTGTTTCTCTCAGATCTACTAACCCTGGCTAAGGTGTCTCTTTGCTGTAGCCAAGACCTGCTTGTTCTCTCATCTGCATAAGCTCCATGGTGCTTTTAACCATGAGCCAAATCACAGGGAAATAAATTTTTATAAGTCAAAGAGGGAGGGAACTCAGGATGGGAAGAAAGGTGAAATGGCAAGGAATCCCCAGTTTTTTATGTTGAAAGCATAAATCCCAATAAAAACCAAGCAGAAAGAGACGGAAGCCTCCAGGGAGGAGAAAAGTATGTACAGTAAACAGTGACCCAGCACAGCGTGCCCTGCTGTAGGAACGCCAGGGTCAGAACAACGTGTCACGTTGCCACTTTGATCATGGGATTTGGATCAGAGAGAACATGGGATTTGGACTTCGCTCTGGGTTTGGCTCTCATCTGCGCTGCCTGTGGGCTGCGTGACCTTGGATACGTTCCTTCCCGCTCTGAGCCTTCCTGTCTTCACGGTGTAGTGGGAGCGCCTGTTGGAGCTGCGCTGGGCTGGGCGTGTCATGTCTGCTGATCTAAGGGGAAACCCCAGGGGTCAGGGGAGCCGCCAGGAACCTAGCACTGTGAGCTCGTCAGGGGCAAAGCATCTGGGTCCAAGAAGGGCATAGTTCTGAGTGCACTGTGTTAATACGGCTGATGCATCCTGGGCCCTACCAGGGGTTGGATTCATGTCTGATTCCTGGGCAAAGCTGCCGCTAAACGCTAACTGATTGTTTACTGAGGTACAAGCTCACCTTGTTGGGAACCCCAGAAACAGTCGTAACAGGGAGGAAGGCACTCTCCAAGGCACAGGCTTGCTAAACCGCAGAGCAGGGAAAGGGGCGGGGCCTGGAGCTCGGCCCTGTTGATTTGATGGTGGGACCGCTGAGCCGCCCCCCAGGGATTCCGTGAAAGTACAGGAGGGAAGGCGCTTTGCTGGGATTAAGTTCTACATGAGAGATGGTGGTAACAAACTGACATTTGGGTTATTAGTCCTGGTGTGGCTTCATTTGCCCCACATGTGGTGAGGGAATCTTGGTTAACACCTAGCCCTCGAGGATCCCACGAGCTGTCCCCAGGCCTGAGCCTGGACATGACCAGTGCACAGCAAATGTCAGATCCCATCCCCTAGAAATCACCTCGGAACCCATGGACCCCCTTGGAGGACTTGATGTGTCTGGGAATTGTACAGTATTCCCATGGCAAAGACTTTTAAACAAAAATTAACCTAACGTAAATCTTGGAGCACCCACTATGTGCCGGTAAGGTATACACGCTAAGGATTTGAATTCCCTTTTTTTTTTTCTCAGCATTTCACAAAATATTTTGATGTGCATTTTATTCACATGAGTCTTCACAACAGCCTAACGACGTAGGATCTCCATTTATAGATGGGAAGACTGAGTTTCAAAGAGACTAAGTCATTTATCCATAATAACCCAACTGAAAAGGAGTGCAGCTAGGCTCGAGCCTGTTTTTCTCCCTGGTGGGAAGCTGAGACCAAAGAAATGAAAGAATGAGGGGAAGCCCCAACAAATACTGAAACCTGAGGTTCTGACTGGAAGAGCTGTGGAAGTCAGTGCAGACTGGAGCTGGACCTAACCAGGGGTGGCAGGTCAGGGACAGGATGTAGGCCAGGAGGCAGTGTGTGGGAAAGGCTGGGCTCCCAGGGGCCTTGACTGTGCCCCTGGAGCTGCCCCTAGCTGGTCACGTTTCACAGAGAATTTTTATGGGCCTTTCAAGAAGAAACTGCAGCTCCCTCCTGCCAAGTCTCTGAAAGTGACCAGGGGGCCTTTGCTCTTCTTTTTCTGTCTGGGCACCCAAATCACCTCTCCTGACTTCAGCGACTGCTGGTCTCAGGCTCTGTATCCTGAGCATTTCTAATTTTTCTTGGAGGATTATTTGTGACATTCTAAAAGTATGCAAAGCCACATACTGAAGTGTGCCAATATTAGAACATTAGTGAGCCGGAAATGATGCTCATTTCAAATTGCAGGTGGGAAAGGGAGAGACAGGAAAAGAAATGTGCATCCTGGGATCACACTTTGTGCTGGCAGCTTTCACATTCATGATCTCTTTTAATATTCACTGCCATGTAATCTATCAATTCCACTTTGGCAGTTGGGAAAACTGTCATTCAGAGAAGTAAAGTAACTTGGCTAAAGTCACACAGATAATTAGTGGCAAACCTAGGCTTTGAAACCAGGACTGGCTCCAGAGTATTTTCCAATAAACCACAATTTACAGCCTGTGGAATTCAGGTGGAATTAAGAGAGGACCAATAAACACAGTTTAATGGATGGTAAAATTCTTGACCTTACTTTTTATTAATTCAAGTTTACAAACCATACTGTTTGAAAATTACCAGCTTTGAGGGAGTTCTTCAGTCAATGAAGTGCTCAGGATTCATGAAATCCCAACATTTAGAATTTAACACTGTCTGAGATGCCACCAGAGGACTGGACACGGAGCTGAGTGTTTCTGCTCAGGAACTTTCATTTTTGAGAGTGTCCTATCAAAAAGGGGGCCTGTTGTGCACTAGGTAGACTATGTGGTGGAGATTCTCAGATGAACCTACCTGATTAAACTCTGTTTAATATGAATGCCAAAGTTTGACACATCATAACTACTTTCTTTGGCAACTCCAGCCTTGATGAGAGAGTAGGAAATGTCTCTGTATTTGACAGGAACAGTGTGTGACATGAAAGACCTCAGACGCTGTGCAGATTTTTGACAGTTCTTCAGAAGACAGCGCCCTCTGCCTGTTCTGTTCAGTCCTAGTCCAGGTGAGTCACTGCGTTTTCCGCCAGGCAAGTATTTTAAGACATGAGAAATCTAAACCAATACCAGCAAAGAAAGGTGAGGGATGGATTATCGCCATTTGCTTTGATGGTTGTCATGGTGCTGGGGAAACTGTTCCCAGTTAGATTCCCACTCGCTGCTGTTTTGCTGGTGGCCAGCCCGACGCCGGCATGAGACATGGGTGTGTGCACAAATGTACACCTGCCATTGACACCCACTTGGGTCATGGTTACAAGGCTGTGCTCACATGGATGGCAAACCTGCTTCCCAACATCAGCTTGCAAGGAGCCAGCAGGACCCCACCAGTTGCCCAGCTCCAGGGAGAGATCACTGGAAGTTTTGGAGCAGAGTCAGTGACTGCAGGAACCACCTCCCCCTCTGCTCCCTGCTTCAGCTTGTGGCTCTGGAAAATGCCCCATCTCCAGTCTCTTAAATCTCTTAAGGCTCGGGTCGTCCGCCATTCTAAGGGGCAAGGGAGGGCTTTGCGGTCTGTGGGAGCTGGGACGAGGGGTGGGCATGCTGCCCACCAGCAATGCCTGGAGCCCATGGTCAGGTGCAAGCCACACCCTGGCACTGCCTGGGAGGACGGCCTCCTCTGCCTGAGTCTACACCGCGAAGCTCTGCCTGCCTGCACTGAAGGGGCCTCGGGGGCTCTGAGCAGGAAAGGAGGCCCTGTGGTCACCCTGTAGGGTGACCCACACTGTAGGAGCCTCAGGAGGAATTGTGCTCCACCCTCCGACTTCCCTCAGGGCTGCGCCCCCACCTCCGGCTCCTCTTTCGCCTGCGCTAATGGGGGATGGAGGTTGGGGTGGACTACAGTAGGAGCGGGGAGTGGGGGGCTACCTTGCTACCTGGATTTTCCTAAATTTCTTTAATTAAACTAAGCCTTTATATAAATGTGAAAACCAAGCAAACTCCATGCCTGAGCCCTGCAATCCCCTCCCCCAGATTCTAACTCAGAGACTGGAAAACAGGCTTATTTTTATTAAGGGCCCAAGTGATGGGACTTCAGGTCCAATTAAATGCTGGACCACAATTTGAAAAACACTGGAGCAGAAGTGAGCCAGCAGGTGTATGGGATGCATCTAGTATAACAGAAATTTGTCTAGTTTCTTCTTTTTTTTTTTAATAGAGGTGCTAGGGATTGAACCCAGGACCTCATGCGTGCTGTAAGCGTACACTCACCACTGACCTATACCCTCCCCTACCCATCCAGTTTCTTAAAATAGTGGCAGGGGCTGAATTGTGACACACACAACTCCGTTCATATGTTGAAGCTTTAACCCCCCCAGTACCTCAGAATGTGACTATTTGGAAACAGAGACTTTAAAGAGGTTAATTAAGTAAAAATAAGGTCTTTAAATGAGCCCTAGTCCTGTATGACTGGGGTCCTTGTAAGAAAAGGAGATTAGGACACAGGTGTGCTCAGAGGAAGGACCATGTGAAGACACAGGGAGAAGGCAGCCACCTACAAGCCAGGGAGCGGGGCCTCAGAAACACCCCGCAGACACCTTGGTCTCAGACTCCCAGCCTCCGGGGCCGTGGGAAACACGTCTCTGTTGTCTAAGCCCCCGGTCTGTGGCACTTTATCATGGAAGCCCCACCAACTAATTCAAAAAGGGACCTGGTTTCACTTAATAATCGTCCCAGAAGGTAGTGCTTCAGTATACTAAATAAACAAGGCTGGTTTAAGGACCACAGGACATAAGTCCCAGCCCGGGTGTCTCAGGGGTGGCTCTGCCAGCATGGAAAGCACAGCTTATATGGTGTCAGACACTCCTGCTCTCAAGCACTAGAGCCTTCTTTTCCTGGCTTACCATCTGCGTGACTTTAAACAAGACAGTTTATTATTATTACTGTTGTTGTTGCTGTTGTTATTATTACGTTTAATAAATTCGGGGACGTGAGAAGGACAACACAGCGCATGTCCTGCAGGCGACGTAACACCTTGCAGCATCTCTGACAGCATCCTGTAATCAGACGTCCTAATGTTTCTGTAGCCAGATGTGCATGTTGCATAAATCAGGGAGCCTCATGCCAACTCAAGACATATTTCTCTATCAAATGAATTTATTTCAGGTCAGGTTTTATTGCCAGGCATGTTACAAATATAATTTTTGGCCTTTGGAGCTTTTAAGGTTTTGAAATGGTGGACCTATATTATCCCTGTTTCTTCAGGTGAAGAAACTGAGGCACAGGTTGGTGAAACAACGTACCCACAGTCATTAACTCCCGAGAGGAGGGGCGGGGCTCCCACCCCAGGCAGCCTGGCTCCAGAGTCCACACTCTTCACACTCACCTGCCTGTGCCCCTGGGTACCACCCACCTCCGGGGCCTGACCCATCTGTAGAAGATGGATCATGCCAAGCTTGCAGCCTTGTTGTGAGGACCAGATACAGTGTAGGTTAAGTTCTGTTATGGGTTGAATTGTGTCCCCCTAAAATTCATATGTTGAGATAACTCCACTGCTTCAGAATATAACCTATTAGGGTCATTGCAGATACAGTTAGTTAACTGAAGATGAGGTCAGTAGGGTGGGCCCTAATGCAGTCTGACTGGGGTCCTTATTTAAAAAAAGAAATGAGAACACAGACAGTCATGTACTCAGGGAGAATGCCATGTGAACGTGAAGGCGGAGAGCAGGGTGATGCTTCCACAAGCTAGGGAGGCCCAGGATGCCAGCAGGGCACCAGAAGCTGGAAGAGCACAGCGTGGAGCTGCTTCTCTCGCTCAGCCCTCAGCAGGAACCAGCTCTGCTGGCACCTTGGTCTCAAACTTCCAGCCCCCAGAACCCCCACCCCCACCCCGTCATTTGTGCTGCCTTGTTTCAGCCGCCCCAGGGAACTGGTATATGTTCTTTACACAAGCACTGGGTCCTAAGTAGGGGACCAACAAGTGGTAGGTAACCAGGCTTATTATCTTTATGACGGAGTCTTCAGATTCTTCATAGAGGAATAAAATCAGTGAATTAGATGATCTCTAAGGCCTCTTCCACTTTCCAGGTCTAATTTTCCATGATTATAACATGAGGATAATTCAACCCCATTTGTCACTTGCATCAGTGGTCGGGCTCTTGGAGCATTTCTCTGATGTTTTAAAGATGGGCTAATGTAGAAGTGGTCTTAATAAGCAAAACAACAAAGCAAGAACTTCTTTTCCTGTGTTACGGGTTATGTCCCTGTACACTAAAACCGAAACCATGTGGGCCCTAATTTGCCTTCTGATGTTCCTGCTTGTACCGTGAACTCGCTCAGTCATGGGTTTTTCTGAATCCCTTTCACTGTGTCTTCAGGTCTACCCAGTGTAACCCACACTGAGTGCTGGGCTACAGATTATGCGGAGGTTAAACACTGAACACTTTTCCTCAGGCTTCAGTGACGGACCCCACATTGTCAAGCCACGCTGGATCTTTAAGCCTTTGCCTCTAAGATTCTACACATCAGGTCAGAAAATGGTTTGCTGCAGGTGGAGTGTGGCCCCCAAGTCCCCCTCTGTGGAAACAGGACTTTAATGGCTGTGCATGTTCAAAGGAAGGACTTCAGGTTTCCTTCCAACTTCCCTTTGCATCTCTTCTCAAGGCTGCCTCTCCGAGTCCCTGTCAGCCCTCAGCCTGAGTCTGACCAGCTGCTCCCCACTGGTTTCCAGGAAGCACTTCCTCACCAAGCCAGGGGCCTCTCTCATCCCAGAGCCACGGGTGGCTTTAACATCTGCTTAAGGCTGTTCATCTTTGCTCCCTGCTCCTGGTTTTCCTCCCAGGAATCTGAGGAGAAGCGTGCCTTTTCCGAGCACAGGTGCAGCCTGGGGGAATTCTGTTGGGTTACAAAAATGGTTACAGGGTGGGAGGTTTTACTTGGAGGATCTCATGGTTGGTGATTCCATCCAATACCAACATGGGAGATTTAATTAAGCAAGTGCAAGTGCCCAATAGACAGAGCTGCTCAGAGACAGAGGCCACATCTTTCGTTTTTCAGTCCTCAGTGCCTAGACCAGAGCTTGGCACATGGTAGATGCTCAGTATTGTTTGTTGGATGAATGCATCTTTGTTTTCTGTCTTCAGAAAGATTTGACATGTGCTTAGTCCAAGAATCATGACCACAAATAAGGTTGGAGAATGTTTCTGCTTTGTAATAGCTCTCATGGGTCATGTCCAAGGGAAAGGTCCCGAGGCCAGGAGGCAGAGGTCCAGGTCTGGCTCAGCAGTTGCCCGAGAAACCCGGGGATCTTCAGCCTCCCTGGGCCTCAGCACCCTCCACTGCAGCATGGAGGTCATCCTGTCTTCTCTGCCTGCCTCCCTGGATGGTTATCAGAACATGACATGAGAATGGATGTGAAAGTTCTCTGAAGATTTCAAAGACCACACTGAAGATACTATTTTTATTGTTACAGATATTTGTAGAGTTGAGCTGCTTAAAATTATTTTTGACCTCAATCTCTTCTCTTTTACATGTTCAAGCTCTGGGACCAAAGCTGTTTTCCTCCTTCCCCAGCTGAAGGCCTGCCCAATCATCTGTTTGGTCAGCAGACATTTCTCCATCACAGGTGGTGAGGGACAAGTTAAGCCGCAGAAGATTGGCCAACAAATGGTTGCCAAAGCCACTGAGAACAGAAAGTCTTCTCCCCAGAGGACCGTTTAGGAGAGGCCCTTGGAGGACTTGTGGGGAGCAGCATGACAGGGGCCAGCAGAGCCCAGTAGGACCACCCCCCCCCCGCCACCTGACTCCCAGGAGCGCCCTCCACTTACGCCTCTTGAGGGATCGATGGATGAAGCCTTGGTAAGTGGTGCTTTGCTTCCTCATCTCCTGTTGCTAAGGTAACTGAGTGAGCATAGGACAGAAACAAACCACGTGATCTTGCCATCTCCACCCGTGTGGCCAGACAGCACCCTTTGGCCAGAGAGTCACAGTCAGGCCAATCGATCAGGCTGAGCCTGTGTTTTGGGGTCAGGGACACCTGAGGTGAAACACCTGAGCTGGGTGGCTGCTGCTGTTCTCTGAACACTATTTCCAGGTGGACAAGATGTTGAAGCCAAGGTGGGGTTGAGGGCAGAGGATGAGGGATTGAAATGACTTGAGTGTGGGGCCACCACGTCAGTATGTAGCATGGCTGAAATTGTCCAAGGCCTGGGTTCTAGCTGCCTGTCCTTGGTTCAGTCAGGGAATCTGTAGAGCGAGGGCAGGGCGCACAGCCTCTAACCCTCACCTCTAACACCTGTGCCTCTAGCTTTCCTGCTTGCCCCCAAGATGGGCCCTTCCAAGCTTTCAGGCAGGGCCTTTCTTAAGGATACCATGAGGATGAGGGCAAAGTCATCTAGGAATGAGGCAGCTCCTTGAGGGCCACAGAGAGGGAGCTAGTCAGGAGGGAGGAGAGGAGGGCTAGGCAGACCACCCCACAGGTGCCCACTGCAAGGTCTCCCTCCAACTCAAGTCCCAGCTCAACAATGACCTTTTCCAGAAGCTTCTTCAAACCCTTTGGGGCAGGAAATGACACTTTCCTCCTCTCTGCCTGTCCAGTGTTTTCATCTGCACCTCCCCGTGCACTCAGCACCTGTTCACAGTGTAGTCAGCTTTTGAATAACTTTTATTACACAAATACTGATATATGCTCATTGAAAGAAAAATGAGAAACAAGACACCCACAAAGAAGAGCATAAAATTTTCTCAGTCTGCACCCTAGAGATAATCATACTGCTGGCGTCTGAGGGTGTTAGCACTCTTAGGTTCATGTCTTTTTTCTGTCTGCATTCAGCTCTTTGAAAGCGAAGTGCAAATCCTCCCTCTGTGGACACCTTTGCTGTACCCCCACAGCCACCACGGTGCTCCCTTCTACAGGGACTCAGTTCGTTCATTTAAATAAGTGGGGGAATAAACAAATGGATAAGTAGGTAGAAAGCAGGAGAAAAAGTTCTACCC